AGAGAGAGAGAGAGAGAGAGAGAGAGAGAGAGAGAGAGAGAGAGAGGGAGAGAGGGAACGAGTGAACGAGTGAACAAAATGCATCGACAGAAGTAGGAAGAAAAAGTATAAAGATGTATGTACACGATGCGACATCTCTTTTGCTGATGCAATGATAACGCAAATGATATCTTTCTATATACATGTTCCCAACAAAATACCGAGTCACGGGGCACCGAAAGTGTACAATTTCACATACTCTCTCACACACACACACACACACGCACATAATCGAGCAACAACAAAAAGAGAGGCAGCAAAATGAAATGCGACATTGTCGATTGCATCTGCATAAAATGAGCATCGATTCAAATGACTTATTCAATTCACAACTCAAAAAATACGAGCTGTGAACAATTTTTGCGTGCTATATTCACAGCATTTTGTTCCTTGTTTGTGCTTTTCTCTCTCTCTCTCTCTCTCTCTCTCCTTCAAATCGAATTTTACTTGTAATAAAATGAATGTGGACAAATTTTTCAGTTTTATCTCTGCACACCGCACAATGCGACGATGGCGGCAGCAGCGGCAGCGGCTCTGATACATACGCGACCAATTTTAATCAACTATCTTGATCGCATTTGAATTACTTCTTCTCAATACAATGCAAAGATGGGCAATCGCCACCATTGCCCAACCGATCGATATAACTCTATGATTTGGTGGCTCATTCTCAGGAAGCGCAACAACAGTAGGGCATATAAACAACAAATGCAGAATTTAAGGAACTTCTTTCAGTTTCAGCAGCGTATCGATCGCACTTTTGCTTATTTTTATTCAGCGAGCGCGTTGATACTTGACAGCGATATTGTAGGCACATACAACCCTGCGCAACGTAAAATAGTGCGCACGATTTTCAGATTGCGCTTAGTCCTCTCTCTCTCTCTCTCTCTCTCTCTCTCTCTCTCTCTCTTTGCAATTTAATTTGTGTACGGTGTGTGTACGAGTGTCACCTTGATCTGATAAGATGTTTTCTCGCCACTAAAAGTTTTACAACTATTGCATTGTTTTCGCATGCAAAATGCTAAATGTCTATTGGACACATTACACGGTTTCTTTGTCTTTGTTCCGCTTTCAATGTTGTTGCATTTTGTTCGCCCATTTTACATTTCAATTGCTATTGATTTACTGCGTCTGGATATGTAAGAATGGGAAATTATTCGATTTTCATGCTGTCAATGGTGTTCGATTACAATCGCCAAGTGCTTAGTTTCATTTTCCGTAGCTTTTTCATCCTTGCAGGAAAGTCGGCTGTTTTAAAAACAGAATGCTTAAATTTGGGGCATTTTTCAACATTTCCACTGCATTTTCTGATTATTTTCAGTTTGTTGAAAATGTTCGCTGAAATTCCGAATTTTGTGTTGCGTGAAAGATGAAAAGAGCACTTATTCGTCTTGTGTGAATATTAGGCTGGTTTGGCCGGTGACAATGAAATGAACAGATTAAACGAGTGTGTGTGTGTGTGTGTGTTGTGAGGTCGATGTTTGTGACCGAAAATCCCTTAATCATTCTGTTCGGTTTGATTTATGCGTTTTCATTTTGGTGTACTGGTAGAGGAAAAAAAATGTGGTGTCGACTTTTCCATTTTCTACATCACACACACTCACAAACACATGAGCCAAAATTTTAATAAAAATTGAAATGTCCTGCTTCTGCAGCTAAGGGCTTGAAGAAAATAATATTTCAGTCTAGCCAACAAATATGTTGGATATCATTTGGTATCCGAAGAGCAAGAGCACACAATATATATATATATTCATAATAAGTTACAGGAAATAACACGTTAATATTTTCGTCTATTGTTTCGGTATTCATATGCGGGCCGAAGATATAGGCAAAAAATGGCGAGTATATTTCATATATGCAAAATGTGTGAAGAATATCCGCCCGACGAAATCGTTGTCGTTGTCGTTTTCGTCGTTCTACCCCTTTTTTCCGTTCATCGAGTATTTGAAGTTATGTGGCTGCTGTGCAGTTGTTTTATTTATTCGCATTTGAACGGAAAATAATCGGTTGTTTTGTGTATGTGTGGCAACGATATGGGTTTCGATCATGGCCAGCGTAAAGAAAAGAGTGTGTGAGAAAGAGAAAGAGAAAGAGAGAGCTCCCAACGCAGATGCAAATTGTTCAGTGCGCCATAATAGCTAGCAATACCGAATCAAAATTCCGAAAATGGCCCAGCAAAATGTTTGCTGCTCACTTTCTCGTTCTCTATTGAGACGAAATATTGCTTTGGCGGTTAACAGTCACAACTCTTGCACACACTTCATCTTGGCATGTAACGCTAGTTTTTTTTTTAAATTTTTTTTTCATTTTTCGCTGTGTTTGTTCTAGTAGGTGCTGGTGTCGGTGGTGGTGTTGTTGTTGCTGTTGTGCTACTTTGAAAGCGTTTCAATTGTTTTTATCACAAGCAAAATTGTTCCATCCTTTCGGGTGAAAATTGTAGTAGCGTACACATTTTCGGTCTTTCACGAAACTGTAAAATATATTGGCGCTGTTGACTTTGCCGACATGAGCCGCAGCAACAGCAACAACTCCGATAACAGCCAAGTAACCCCGTAACATGTATGGCTGGTTTCGGTAAGGATAGATGTGTGTTGAATGTCTCTCTCTCTCTATCTCTCTATCTCGCAAATGCGTTCATTTTGGTTTGCAATTCCTTTTCATATTATATGTGTCCTGTGTCTCCACATCCATTTCACAGCCCCACCATGTGTTTACACGGAACAACAACAACAACAACAAAAAATTGAATTTAGACAAGTGAATTGAATACAAAGTGTTTTGTTTTGTTGAAGTGCGCGCGCTCACGCGTTTCTACTTTGCACAACAGTATTGACCAGTACGGGCGCGGGCGCGAGCGCTCGTTCGCATGACTGCAGGAAGCAATAAAACAAAACTTCTGCCTCACAAAAGACGGAAACATTTTCAAAGTGTCTACATATTACATATTTATGTGTGCTAAACATTGTCGTCGAAACGATATATGCGCACTCTATGTCTCTGCCGCTCGTTCTCCAGCCCGTCTCACTATTTGCCAACACTCACAATTGCTTTATAGACATCGGAATTAAAAATGGCCGCAAGCGAATAACTCGTTTTTCAAAAAGTTTATTCATTGCGTATGCGTCAAAGTTGCCACAAAGGTTAGTTTTGATTTTCAAATATGCACAAAGAAACAACCATCTATTTGGCTGAAGCACAAGCACACACATATACATAACTTTGGTCCCGGTGTTTGTAATGGAGTGGGAGGCTATTCATTTCACATTAAAATATGGTTTGAGTACCTAAAAAACGTAAAAAAAAAATTATTTGATTGTCTGGGTCGTCCTTCGCTTTGTCGCGTGGAGCAACAACGCTAAGGACATTATTCAAAATCCGCAACCGATCTGGGGAACGACACTCATACATTATTGTTTTTTTTTTTTTTTTTTAATATATTCGTCCTCAATGAAATGTTGCGCCCAGTTTTTTTACGTTACTGCGGTAACTGCTCGACTATTTTATCAATATATTTATAATATTCGCGATAATCGCGAATGCTACTCAATTCTCTCTGTCTCTAACATCGTTCAATTTGAAGCAAAGAAGCACATACAATTAATAATAACAAAGTATTTAAACAAAGTGAAGTTTATGACCTTCTCTTTCTCTCTCTCTCTCTCTCTCTCTCTCTCTCTCTCTCTCTCTCTCTCT